GAGCCAGAGCTTGAGCCGTTACCGCGGCGCTTCGCTTGGCGGAACGATGGGGTGTACCCAGTGACTGCGCCTGGCCTTCCCTTTGATTTTCATTTTCATGTGCTAAATTTGGTCTGTTTGTAGAGGGGAGGAGGAGGGCGGTGATTAGGCAGGAGCGGAGAAGCTGAATGTAGCGTGTTTTTCCTGCGCCGTTAATTATGTATTTTACATTTCTTATAGGACCTCATCGCAAAGTGATTTACAAACTCTGATGGCTTGGGAGGGGGGGCTCCCCCGCTTTATTATTTTCCTTCCCCTCTTGCGCTCTCTTGAATCTCTTCAGTCTGTGCGCCGACCATTTCAAGAGGCGGGTGTTGTTGCAGCTGTGCAGTAGCAGAGCTTCAACCTCAACGCATCAAGTCGTGCTGGGAGCGTTTGTCCCGTGGGGCTGGTCGGGGCTGAGCGGGTTGCAGGGGAAGTAGGATTTGGCCTCAGAATTTCACAGGACTGTTTGATTAGGATCTGAAGAGTTCACAGGGATGCTTGGGGGTGGCATCTGGAACCCCTTATCCCATGGAAGGTGCCATGGGTGTGAAATGCATCACTAGTGTCAACTGTGCACACTTGGAAATCCGTGGTAAATCCACCTCCGAGCTTTGGGTTTCCTGGGGCTGCGAGGGAGGACGGCTGAAACCAAACCCCACACACAGGCGCTCCCTTCAGGTGCGAACCAAGAGGAAAACCATAGCTGGATGCTGGTGGGCTAAAAACCCTTATATTTCTTGATTTGCTTGTCGTTCACAAGGCAAATCCCAGGCTTTGAGACCTCAGGCCAGGTTGGATTTGGTGTGTGTATTGTAATTTGGTCCCTAGGACTTTACTTGGGCAAAACTTATGACTTCACTGGTGGCTTTGCTCGAGGCTGGAAAGTTTCATAATTCACCTTTTAAATTAACCATGCTTTGGGGAGCTTTCGCTGTAAGGGTTTTGTTTGATCTGATGTGCTCTGCTCAACTTAAACCTGAGCTGGAGAGTATTTGTTGCTCCTGTTCTTGCTGTGTTTTTCACCCCGGAGGGTTTTTCTTTCCCCCTGTCCAGAGCCTGGAAATAAACACTTCTTCTTTTGCTGTCACTCATAGAGGGGAGAACTCCTCTGGGCTGGGGAGTGCCTCCATGCCCAGCTGAGCCTGGACTGATGCAAGCTGTCACCCACCCTCCCGCACAGCCCCTATCCAGCTGTGAGCAAAGGTGTGCTGTGGCACCCAGTGCCTCTCCTTTGCATGGAGGTGTTGCTAGAGCAACATCGTCAGCAAGAGATTTCTCTCTTTATCATGAAGCTTTTCTCCTTCCTTCCTCCTGCAAGCATCCCTGTGCTCTTGGATGTTGTCTGGGTTGAGGACATGCCGATACCCATTACTGCACTGCAATGAGGGGAGCAAACTCTATATGCTTAATGCAGTATTAATAGTACATTGATGTGATATAGATTTCTGTCACCCTCTATACTAGCAAACATCGCTTATCGCGCAGGGATGACAGATGTTTATTCCCAGCCACTTAGCTCTGCATAATGGAATTGCAACTGAAATATGGAGAGCAGCTCTCCGCCCGTGGAGCTGCAGCCCCTCGCTCCCGCTGTGCAGGGCTGTCCTGTGGGCTCTCCTCATTAACGCGTCCTCAAGGAGAGAGAGATGTGCTCCTTGCTGGGGGTGTGCTGTTCTCGCATCGATGGGATGGAGGGCGCAGGAGCCATCTCACCTCTCAGTTTCTGGGATTTTTGCAATTGTCTCTTACTTTCTTTCTGCTAGTGCCTAATTTAGAGGAACAGGAGGGACAGTTAGCTCGGGGTCCTCTTTAGGCTTCTCAAAGAACCATGGAAGAAGCTGCACCACCCTGTTGTTTTTGTGAGGAAGCACTGAGTCTTGGAAAAGATGCTTGCCCCCATCTTAACGCCGTAACTCCATGGCATGCTGGGCAGCACCAGGGATTGCAACCAACCCTTGTTTCAGTCATCCTCAGCCCTACCTGGAGGGTTAAGCAAAGAACTTGGCAGCGGGGATGGTCCAACCACAGATGGAATTCAGAAGAATAAGTGGAAATAGTTGTTTTTTCTTCTGATCTTTTGCACATGGAAGAGGAAGCAAGTGGCTTATCTGCTTGGCAGATGTCAGCAGGAGGAGGGACAGGTTGTGACGAGTTTTCACCTCTCTGTGTTTGGAAATAGATGAGAGGAAAATAACGGGACTTGTGGAGCAAGCACTGTGGGCAGAATACGTGATGAGGAAATGGGGTGTAGGACCACACAGCTTCAACCGATGGTCTTGGGTTTTGGTAATGAAAAAAATGATCCAGTCTACCCCCATTTGTGTCTGGAAAATGGCTATCAGTCCTTCTGTGCAGGAAAAGTCACCTCATTACAACGGATAGCTTCTAGTCAGTGGGGAAAAAAAAAAATTAAGAAGGGAGCATCAGCCTGAAATAAATCCGCGAGTCTGTTGGTAGGACATTATTTTCATACATATGCTTCTTGGTAGTAACAGCAACTTTTAACCTTAGCTCCATCTCATAATGTTCATGATTTGAATTTGTAAAATGGATAATTACGAGTAGCTGGAGATTTTTGTGGTGAAAGACTGGTAATGTTTCAGGAAAAAACACATTTTTGAAGATTGTTTTACTTTAATAGCAGTAATTTATTATGAGCACAATACATCAGGTGAAGGTTAATTCCTGCACCTGATCTCTCAAGCTTTACTCAAATGCCACAGCACAAGTTTGCTCTTGCTGTGTTCACTTCTATTTCTTGTCTGACCAAAGAGGTCTTCTCAAGAGTAACATGAAACAGAGACAAGAATCCAAATGTGATTGAGAAAACGAGTCTGGGGGAGCAGATCCTTTGTAGAACTCTGTCTGTATCCCATCAGTGGAGGCTTAGTTCCCACCAGTGCTGTGAAGGTAGACTTTTGGGGCACGCAGTTTGATTTTGGTGGAAGTTGTTGCCAGAAACGACCGGAGCTGGCTGTGTTTTCCTCTTCCAGGACTGGCGCAGTCTGGGGACTGGGATGCCATCCTTCTGTAGAGTCCTAATGAAGGTTTTTTTCAACCTCATTTATTACAGGCTGCCCTGACATAATTACATATTTGAAGTTAGTAATTACATGTATTCATGCTAATTAAGTAATTAGATATAATTACACTAACTGTAAATACATGGTAATCGGCTAAAAAGAAGTACTTCAGAAAAAAAAACAAGGCAAATCACACAATAAAAGCGCCATCAGGACTCTTTCACTCAGTATCCTGTCTTTATCTTGTATTTCAGTGCAGTTTAAAGGGGACATTGTGGTCATTTCAGAAATCATATTTTTTAAACAAATAGCTTTCCTTACCTCTGGTTCTAATTGGTCTTGAAAACAAAAATGAGAAGGATACTTACTCTTACTACTATAAACAAAATTCTTTTTGTTTGCCTAGTGTGTTTTGTTCATCCTGGGCATGGGAAGCTAAAAAATATGCAGCATTTCTATTTTAGGTCAGTTCATGTTCGCACTTTTGCCAAAATCAACAACAACATAAAAACAAAGCCATAAATGCTTGCAGCTTCATTTGGCTAAAAAAAAAAACCCTGAACCTGTTGGTAGTGGAAAAGAGAAACTTTTTCTTTTTCTTTTTTTCCCCCAGGATAAGAGGATTTGTCAAATATTATTTTTCACACAGTGTTAATGTGGAGCCCAGTGTAAAGTGACAGCAGCAGTCCAGTGGCAGCCCAGCGCCCAGCCTGGGACCAG